AAGAAAAGCTGATTTGCATAAAAATATTTTGTTAAAGAACACCTGTGCTGCTTTTCTTTGTGCATTTAAAAATAACAGCAATTTTAAGGAGAAACACAAAGGGGTTATTAAAATGCTAAAAAATACCCAATGCAATTCAATTTAGAAGGATAGATACTGCTATGTTTTATATAAATGGAAATCACAATTATGTACCAAAGTTATCAGTGTATTCTTCAGCAAAACAATGAAATTAGAGAAAATGGGAAAATAACTGTACTTGATGTTGTCACATTATTTACTTTACTTCTATGGCAAACTCCCTTCCCTGGTATTTATCCGTCTTGTCCATTTAGATTGCAAACTAGTTTGGGCAGGGATTTTCTGCCGCCTTGCATCTAGAAAAATGCAATCCCATTCTTAGACAACCTGTAGGCACTGCTGCAATAAATGTGATCATTAACATCAAAATGTATGTTTTGCAAAACTCATTTTTTTTCCTATTTTTATCAAGACTCTAAGACCACAGTAGTTATATTATAGGTAAGTTGTTTTAATTACAGTAAGTACAAAGTCTTACTGTTACTAAAAAGATTATGTTAAAGCAAACATATTCTATCTTCATGAAACTTCAGCATTTCAATCTCTCTGCATTACACAGATATACACATAAACTTTCTTTCAAAGGTCAGATACTTATGAAAATAGTTCCACTGAATCAAACTTTTAGTACATTGTAAGCAACAAGATTATTCTTTCTGAAGATACTAGATCCAATCAGAAATATTTCTGTATTTATTAAAATAACACGCACATAACATTTTACACCTTTCAGAGCACGTGCTTACAGAGCATGTTGTCTGTATAAATATACACATTATATATATATATTTATTTATAGATTTAGCCATACACATAGTTTTTATATCTATGTATTTAATATAAATATCTACATAATTAGTGCATATGCTTAGTGAAAAAAATTGCAGGGGAGACAGCCCTTTGGGAAAGGCCAGACACAGCAGGCAAGTAAGTGATTTACAACAACAAAAAAAGGAAAGATTAAACTTCTTCCTTCCTTCCTGAACTTGTTCAAAGAATAAATCATATGGAAATATTTTTTGTATCTTTAGTCTATAAAGCTGGATATCTTAATTAGCCAAAAACTCTGAAAGGTTTCAAGTTATTGAGGAAATACAAGAGATACACTTTTAATCTAGAAAATACAAATTAGGCAACACATGAAAGAAGTATGATGATGCCCAATAAAAATTAAGTCAAATAACCTTAGAACCTTCCAACATTAAGAATGCTGTACATACAACAAAGACATTTCCTTATAGTTAAAACTGTCTTTTTCTATATCCCTGAAGTTGCATACTAATAAGGCTTAAACCTGTCAAAAAAATTAATACTCCCCTTTCTGCAACTTAAATCAACTCAAAGCAGAATGAGGGACAGAAGTAAGGACACTTTTTGTGCATATTTATCTAACATCAAGACAATATAAATATAATTTTGTACATTATGTACATTATTTGTACATTTGTACATAATGCTATCACATGGATAGTAAATGCATAATTTCTATTTTATTCAGACATGTATTTCAAATATATACCAGAGATCAAATGCGTACATCTTTAAATAACTCAAATGAACGACTGAGCTGAATTCAAGACACTGTGTTGTGTAACAGGAAAAACTACTACGCAAGCTATTTAAAGATAACAATGAAATTTAGCATAGACAGTAAAATGAAATACTATTTGTCCCTAACAGTCCTGATTTAATGATCAAATGGTGACAGTGAAATAATGAAAACTTTTTCATTAATACTTGTCATCTAAAGAAATCCATAAACAACGATGGCAAAAATTTCCCAGGAGTCTAGAATCAAGGAAGTAGGTGCCTAATTCCCATTTTATTCTATTGGATTTGGGTGCCTAAATTCCATTAAGATTTCTTTAGAAATCACATCTTTATAGATTTTAAGGCTGAAAGAAATCGTTACGACTATTCAAGTTTGGCATGCCTAACAGACTACAGAAACCCATCTAGCAATTCCTGTATAGGAACTTTAATAACTTCTGTTCAAAGTAAACCACCTCTTTTTTGGAAGCTCTAGTATCCTTAAGATGGAAAGTCAAATACTCCCTTGCTACACTAGTCGAATGGTGAATTGTGTTTCAATAGCCATTAAAAAATTTAATGCATTAAAACTACGAAAGGAGGGGGAACCCTGCAATGAGGAGGAGACACCCTACAGCCCAACAGATTAGACTCTTGCATTATTACATGCTACAGAAAGGTTCTCTCTAAGTCGACAATTAAATGTGTACTCAGGTAAACTCATTCCAAAGTATATTTTTTTGACTTTTGAGAGATAAAGGTCATTAAAAATTCATTGCTTTTTCTACAGCTTGAGCTGGAACAGATTTATAATTATCAGATATATAATTTATTAAAACACATAAATCAGCTTTCCTTTGGTTCATTTCATTAATTTCAATAATGAAAACTGTAAATATTAATATTAGGTACAGTTTCATAAGTACACTTTAAATGAGCTGGAAAAGATCTATCATTTAAGAGGACAAAAATTTGCTAAGAGTAAGTTTTATCTTGAAGTGCTTAGTCTTAAAAGGGTTGAGGAATTCCAGCCTGGCTCATGTCAGAACCTTACTGGGATCCAGAGATACCAGTTCACTAAAATCAAGCCAAATAAAATCCAGTGAGGATCATTCTCTAGTGTTAAGTATTAGTGCACACAGAGATGGGCCCTGGATCCTTAAAAATGCTGGTGCTTTTGTTTCACGAAGGTCTGGTATTCCTGCTCCTCCTCGTAGTGACACCGCTTATTGAGAAAGTAAGGGACAAATGTGAGCCTCTGGATTATCAACTCTCCTCTTCCCTATTCCTCCCTCCATGGCACCAATTACGGGGATGCAGGAAAATGTGAGCTCAAATGCACTTGAGCAGAGAAGGAAACTGAACACTACAACTTTATCAGCAAGTGTTCTCATTACTGCGTGTTTGGAGGAATTCTTTCTTGCTAAGAAAGAAAGGTTAAGCAGAGTCTGAGCAGCTGGAGCTCCCCAGAAGCTGTTCCCAGTGCTTCTGTTCTCGAGCTGTAAGGAGCTGCCGTTTAGACACTCCAACTTGAGGCGTCTCTGAATGGTGCATGTGATTGCACTGGACTGTGCTGATGGGTACATCAGACTCCAGGTACATGGTAGAGAGCTTAGGAGTCTAAACCAAGGCTCTGAATTAAATTCTAAACGGCATACCTAAAAATTAGGTGTTGCAGCACCTGCTTTTTAGATACTCAAATTGGTATTTTTATCTCACCTATTGAAGGTTGGAAATAATATTGCAGCTTTTAAAGAGGACAGCAGTCACATTAAGTGCTAACTTCCAAACTACAGTGGAAACCCTGCCAGCATTAATAACAAACCAAGATATTCTTCAGTTCTTCAGTGTATATTCTAGCTCTGTGGTAAAGTTTTCAGGATAGACAGGTTCTACTGAGATGCATTTTTCCAATGTCTACAATAATAGCAAAAACCTTTTTTCCTAGATATTCCGTAGAGTAACAATGCTTCCCACATGCTCTTTTAGCACACCAAGCTATAAAATGAGAAGCTCACCATTCTAAGTATTAAAATAAATGATTTTTTAAAAATTAATTTCTTACACTGATTGCATTGGAATATTTCGCAGTTGCTCATAAGATTGCTTAGTTTGTAAAACCTTCCCACCTAACACTTCACTATAAATCAACAGATAATGACAACTGCCCATATACCACCTCAACAAAACACCTTGCAGAATAGCTCTTACAGTTAATTACAGAAAGTTAACTGTTTAAGTGTTGCAACATCGAGCACACCAATATTCAATCTAATTTCTGACCAGGGATCAGGATTATGGCCTGTGTGGGCTAAACACTAATTTTATTTCAATAGTTAAGTAGCTATTTTAACTTTTCAAAATACTGCATTATCTTCAAATTCTTCAAATGTTTGTTGCACAATAGCTTCCTTTACCAGGAAATAAAGCTAAACTTGAATTTCCTTAAAATTTTAAAGATTTACTCAGTGTTACACAAGGGAAATTAGATATTTTTTACATTTTATATCCATTTGCACAAGTGTAAATAACTGTGCAGAAGGGTAAGGCAATTAAAAAAAAAAAGAGTTTCACAGAACCACAAACCTGAAATAACTACTCTGACTGTATTTTTTAATAACTAGGTCTTTACTGGTAATGTTTAGACCCATCAAAGTCAATGGCAAAAGTGTATTTGCCTTGTGTACAACAGTTTCCACTTTTTCTCATCTAGAGAATCTGTGGCATTATAGCTCTAATTTTTCCCAACGCAGAAAACACTTGTGTGTAAAAACCTTGATTTATTATTGACTTAGATGGATTACCAAGCTTTGCTTCCTTCTTTAGCCTTGAACAAAGGCTAAAGTTCATGCCTTCACTGAGTAGCAGATGTTCATGAAGTTTGACCTACTGGGAGAGGAACGTGAACATGAACTCTAACTTCAGCATACTTTGCAGTGAGAAATATTTGACAAAGCCAGTTCCAAAAAACCCCCAATAAAAATAAAATTATATTTCACATAAGTGGAATAGAAAGTATCTAATTCACCCTTTATTTACACAAGATAGGAAAACATGTCTTGCTAGCCTTCTTATTTTTCTAATTCCTGTTTCTGTACAATAGAATTCCCACAGATCTTTGGAGAACGTATCACTGGTTTGCTTGAGAACAAAAAGGAATAGTGCATGGTTACGAGCATTTCAGATTTTAAATAAGCTAGATATAATTAAAAGCTGTTGCAAGATTAGTTCTTGCCATTCAACTCTAAAAAATGGCAACAGTCCCACCAGTGTTGAAGACAAAAGGCAAGTAATTCAATAACAGAATATAATAGTATAATATTATACCAACATGTCAGATTTAAGCTAAGCTAGAGATAATTAGAAACTGTTATAAGATTAGCACTTACCATTTAACATCAGAAGATTGTCAGTCCCTGGATGTGGATAACTCAAGCGACCTTAAAATAAAACAAAAACCAAAGAACAAAACAAATTAAGAGGTTTTAGCTATTATGCTGGGGAAGGGAGGGGGGAAGAAAAATCACTGCTTAGAATTTAAATATAAACTATATTTCCAGTTTGCCTAAGGGAAATAAAGAGCTAATATTTAACTCCAAGCACATTAACCAACAATACCCTTGACCCAAGTTAAAGCTGACAAGAACAGACTTCTTAACCTTAATTCTCTGGTCATAAGATCTGCAATGTGCTTTGGGATCAGCTCCAATAGGATAAAGCCACTTTTTGTTTCATGACACCCAGAAATAGTGCTGCCTGCTTTAGTCTTCTCTTTCATAGTGACTGTGAATTAACTGTACTATGCACATTGCTCACATTGCTTAACAGAGTGGCATTTCCACAGTTTAGTGCTTCTCTACTGAATTAATTTAAGAAAAATAATGTTAATAGGAATTAAGGCAATACAATTTTATTAATCAATTTATGACTGTATCTTGGTTTATAACATACAACCACTGTATGAGATATTTTTCAGTAAGTCTGGCAAAAATCAGATCACTGTTTTACCTACAGAATTAACAAACCTAAAGAATAGGACAGATAACAATTTCAGAATTTATTAAAATTGCATTAAAACCTCATATCCTGACATTATAACTTTTCAATTATTGCATATTACTATGCTGGTGCCATGTTATACTTTAATAGTTAAATAGTTCATTTAGTTATACTAAATAGTTAAATAGTTTAAAATGCACAGCTGAAGTTTCTGTGCACTACAAATTCCTTTTTATTAAAGGAGACGTTTTCTGTTTACAGGAAGCTGCAAACACACCAGTAGCGCACAGTGACCTAGAGGGACATTTACAATAGCTGCTGTGTTTGGAAGAAGTGTGCTTTAATGTGCAAAAAACTACATTTCCATCTATCTTGCTATTAAACATACTTGCTTGCTTATAATCCATAAGCATATATAAAAAAATACTGTAACTTAAACATTTAAATCTTTTGGAGGAAACGAGTGTTTGTGGAGGCATAAAGAAGAATCCAGTCTGGAAGAAATGGTTGTTTAGAACTCACACAGGTTTAAAGGGGATATATATGCAGATGGCTTGCAAGTTGTGAATAAGTAAGACACTGTCATACCCTAATATGGCTCACTCTTTCTAAAAAGAAACATAGGGGAAAAAAGAAAACAAAAAAGAAAACCAAATCAGCAATCCATATATTAAGGTTGTGTAACAATTCCTATCACACACTGTTTTTTTCCCCCCCCTGCTGTTGGTAAACCCATGTGATTAGCAGCAAGACTGGAAATTTCTTGAAATAGTAGTTCAGTGTCCCTTGGGTTAACCCTGGGGTTAAATAAAAAACCTTTTTGATGAAAATCTTTAAGTAACAGAGTTCACGTTTTGCTCTTCCCCTTTAGGAAACCAATGTGATAATTCGCTACCAAAACTACAGAAAAAATACACATTATGAACTCTTACACTGAAAACTTCAAAATTGCAAGATTAAGATCATTTAGGGTATTTTACTCAGCTTTATTACTTACAGGCATTGTGGCAAAAAGATTTTTATACAGCCACATACTATTTCTCTTCCCACAGATTCCATTATTGTAAGAATGGATGGTCTCAGAACACCTGTGGATTAGGTAGGAACTATTTGCTTTGGAACCTGAAAATGCGGCGAAAACAGTGAAGGGCAAGGGCAGCCTCCTGGGAAAAGGCAGATGAATGCCACCCAAAAGGACTCTGCTGTCTTCTCTAACTTCCACAGAATTTTTAAGCAGGCTTAGGCAAGATACTAAACAAAAATATTTGCAGGAGCCTCTGTCTTCACGTTACTTGTCTTCAAGATGTCCAGTTCTAACATATAAGCCATTTTTAATGTCATGCTGAACATTTACAGCTGTACCTAATGTTTCTTGGAACTATAAATATTCTGCCCTTCTAACAATGCATCCTTAAATTGCAGCCTGGGAGCTGCCACTGGTTTGCCCAGCCTAGTGTGTAACAAGTCACTTTGCTTTACTTAGTTCTTTGGTCTCTAAAGGTAATACTCATTTGCATATCAGCAATGATTTTAAAAGATTATTTACTGTCACCATCATGTTTATATATGATGCTATAGAAATACTTGGAACAATATCAACTGTTTCTTACAAATCAGAATCATAGAATCCTGTATCTATCTAGAATAACAACAGAAATTATGAGAAATTATCATCTTGAACCTCCTGGAGTCTGGGGTGACAGTCTTTGTCCCTGTCTGTATACATTCACCTTTTATTCCTATTCAGCAAGAAAGACAAAGATATACTTTTTTCTGTAATTATTACAGAAAAAGAGATCAGATCTAAGGCCTAGCAGAAGAGAGAAGTCCACCAGTGTCAACACCTGGAGAGGAAAACTGTTTTAGAAGATACTGAATTCTGTGTTTACAACTCTGGTTTTGCAACCTTTTGATTTTTTTTCTTCCCTACAGCTTCACAAATAAGCTGCATCTAAAACATAGGTGCCAAACTGAAATAGTTGAAATAATAAAATCCTTCTCATTAGAGAGAGAGAGAGAGAGAGAGAGAGAGACAGAGAACGCACTAAGCAGCTGGGCCAACTACTGCAGCATAAAACCTATGAATCACACAAAGAAACCCAACCTTGCTGTGTTAGGGAGATGAATTTGCTAGCTCAGATAATGAATGATTTGAGGGCTAGAAAGGCAAATGAGTAACACAGTATTCCGTACATGTACAGCTGTCCTGGTAATTCTTTTAAGTCTTATTTACATGGTTATTTCAATGAAATCATACTTTGTATTACTGCATTCTTAATACTCGTGTTTACTACCCTGTCTAGTACTTGGACTTAAAACCTTAACATTTTTAACAGAGAAGGTTTGCTTACTTTTTCAAAATACAACCACTGCTTTTTGATAAGTTAACTTAGGTTCTTATCCTTCAGATTAATCTGTTGAAGCAAAATGCAGTGTGTCCACCTGAATTTAATGATATACATAAATTCAGAACACTTCACGCATGGAACTGGATATAAGGTAAATCTTATACAGAGCTCAGATTAGACTGTTTTTTAACAGATTATTCTAGTTAAATGGACATATACAATATTAAACCTCACTTAAAATATCAGTATAGAGAAAACAGAAGATGGGAGTACCATCTTATAACAATTTACTTTGCTTCTATCACATGTTTCTTTCTATTCAGCTATTTTCATTGCATGTTGTTTTGTGCATTTGAAAAAAAAAAAAAAAGTACCATTTTAAGAACTGAGCTCCCACAAATCCTATCTAATCCCATCCTACTTCAATGTCAGTAATCTAGAATCATATAAATCGTTCAATAGATATTCTAGTGACTCCAGTGGCCTCTGCCTGCTTAACAAAGTAATTTTAATAATATAGAAAGATGCTTTACTAGTTTAAAATCAACCACAAATTAGTTAGAGAATAACAAATAGTTAAATAATAGACATGTTCCATTCCTGAGAAATGAAAAGTAATTACTTCACTGACTGTCTACAGAACTTCATTCTACTGCACCCAAGATTAGTAATGTGCTGCTACTTGGAACAAATACAATGCCTAATATTACAGTACTGTACATAAAGTATCATGTTATAGACATTTTCTCTGAGCAAACCTTTAACCTGCAACTTCATCATGTTACAGATAATTAATAATTATTGTGTATCATGGCTAAATTCAAAATAGTACTGCTAAGGAGAAGCAGGTATGTTTGGTATTTCTTATGCAACTAGAGTTCTATTAAATTTAGCCCCCCCTCTTCCATATCTAAATGTGATTAATGTTAACAGACCTGCCTGGCATGTATTTCTCACAATGTATTCTTCTGTAAGATCAGAAAAAAATAAAAAGCCTGCAAATGAATTTTGGTAGGCCAGTTTATCCACTAAATCCAGTTAAAAGTCTTGTTAATCCAAACCATAAAGAAATAGTAACAAACTTAGTTTTAGCTACATTTCTGTAATCTCATGTTACTAATATGGGCAATGGAAATTTAAATGGTTTTGTAAGCTGCTTCTGAGCATACAGATATTGTGCTTACTCACTTTTCATTTTAAGGCAAATTCATATCTACTTTTGGAAATGCATACTTTCCATTCCTATTTAACTAAACTGTTGGAGGAATACCCATATATTAAATAATTTGGGATAGATTTAAGTATAACGACCACTTTAAACACTGCTGACTCACAGTCTCACAAGTTCGATTATTTCGTGTTTACTCCCTCCGCCCCCCCTTTTTTTTAAAAAAAAGTTTTAATGGTTGAATGAAGAGACTGAGAATCAGAATTCCTTTCCCATCTTCTTTTTTTCATGCCTACAAGAGAAAATGCTTCCAAGTTAAGTTTTTCCCAAACTACTTTAACAGACCAGTGACTGGCTGAGGATTGCAGCAGATTCAGAAAGCTCAGTTTTTGAATCAGCATAGTTAAGACAAGAGCACAAAAGCACATTTGGACAACATGTAGTTACAGAAAGCCTAGATACTACACTTTCAAATGCTTGTGTAAGAATTATATAAGTCATAATGAGGCCAAATGTGTTTTCTCTGATAGCCAATCTATTTAGACAAATCAGCCTAACAGTCTTAAATATAGTCTTTTATAATAAAAAGTTTCTATGACAGAAAGAGGAAACAATCTGTATGTACAATCTCAAAGCCTTTTTATACGACTGAGAGCGAAGTTTTTCCTTCCATATTTTATTTGTTCAGCCTCAGAAACTCTTTTCTGAGTGCAGTTTGAATTACTCTAGGAAGTAATTGCTTACCTTTAAATGTTAGAGCTTTGTAACATAAAATATAAAACAAATTTCTTAGAAAACAGAAGTTACCATATGCAAATAAAGAAAATGGTCTCTACTACATTGCTGAGTCGCAAATGTTTTGCTTTTTACTTCACTAAGCATGCGCCAGCAGGTTGCTTTTAAAAGAAAGACATGTAATAGCTGAGAAGTTCAACTAAACCAATTTAAAGGCAAAATAAAACCAAGAAAAAGCAAGACAGATTTCTAAGTGCATGAAGTTTCCCCCCACAGATGAGCCAAATAATAGTTTTACTTTTATTGCTAGCTGTGCAAAAAACATATTTGTGCAATTTTCCCCCCAAAATAGTTTTGCTTCTCACAAAGAAACAGAAGAAAAATTCAACATAAAGTTAATATTCCTTCTTCTTACTTCTGCTCATACAGCTATGGCTAATTCAAGTTCACTACTTCTTATACCTAGCATGCAGAGCTACAAGGGAGCTGGTCAGGGAACAGAAATGAATTGTAAATCGAGTACAGTATCACTACTCTTGCCTTAAAAAAAGACAAGCCCCTAAAGTACATGAAAAATACCACGGTCTTTACTAGAAATATGTTTAAAATAGCAGATAATAAATTTCATTGAAACACCTGCTTCTCAATTCTAATACATATGCCATGCAAAATATAACCATTTCTTCTAAGTTTTCCCCATGATTTGTTTTAGCCCAAATGTACTGGCTTTCTTGTTTCTGAAAGGTCTAGAATCCAAGTTTTTTACATCCTGACATCAAGAAGCATTGGCATTTGGGGAAGGAGAAGCGAAAAAAATGCAAGTATGCAAGAGGTATGTCTGGAAAAGAGTTCTACTACCAATACCCATGTATTTCAGGCTAACAATATTGTAAGTCTTCTCTCAAAATAGTTTTAAGGGGTATTAGAAGAACAAAAGCAGTATTTAAGAACAATGATGTAAAAATGAATTAATTTATTTTAACTTTTATTAATTTTAACTTCAGTTTATATTTCATTGATTGGATGGGTAGTCTAAAGCATTACTTAATGTCTTATTATGAAATGCATTTCAAGGAAGCTGCATGGGACAGATTAGTTTTAATACGATCAGTATTTCTGCTGCAATGACTAGTGAAGTCAAGCACCCATCCCCTATTAACCTACCTTGAAAAAATGTCATATTGAAAGCTAAAAAGTACTTCTTTCTTTTGATCATGTCTGTAGTAATGATTAAACTTTGTCTAAGTGAAGCTGAAACTATGCATTTTTAAACAATTTTTTGGCAGCCATAAACTTAGCTTTCAGTGAATCATATTTTAAATAAAGTTTTTTCAAGTCCATGAAAGCAAAAGTGTTGAAATTTTACTTCCTTCTAAAATGAATGTTGAAGTGCAAAACTAAAAAGCTGTGAGCTAGTACACACAATGTCTGTTTTGCATTGTGCAAAATCTGAGACAAGATGCTTAGTCATACTCCAGATATTGTGAGCAGCTAAATCTGAAACACGTGCTTAAAATTCCAGGGACTTTCATTTTACTGCTGTGGTCAGATTTAAAAGATGCATTGTTTTAGTGTGCTTAGATTTACTTAAAAACCGGTCATAAAAATATTCTCTAGTTACAAAATACTCTTTAGTTACAATAAAGTACATTATATGTTACTAAGGACAACAAATAAAGAACAATAATATCCTTAATCCCATGCATTCTGTAAGCAAATATGACGGGCCCTTAAGTAAACGTCAGATTTTCTGTGGTGAAAAGCCACAGAGACTGAAACAACAAAATCAGTGTTTCATGGTTTGCAGGGAAAAAAATAAGTTAAAAGTTGATAGGAAATTACAGAAATGCCAACTAATGATGACTAAATAGAAGAGGGGAGAGGAACTAAAAGACTATTCTAGGATATGATTTCTTCTTGCCATTTTCAGTCAGTAAGGAACACGTCTCGTGTATTACTATTAATAATGTAGCTGCTTCAGCTGAAATAATAACTTCCAAAAAGAAAAAAAAAAACCTTAATCAATCCATATAAATAACAGCACACAATTACTCTATTTAAATTCATCTGGCGTGTGCATTGTTCTCTGGCACTTGAACAAAAAAATGGATTTCCTTTGAATTCATCACTATCTATGGCTTCCATCTGGTTTAGTTCAAATATTAGCAGAATTTTCACTGAAACAGTATGATGGTAAAAATGTAAAAAAATAAAATCTCTTAATTGTAGACTGAAACTATATACTCATGTCCCAAGAAAGCAGAGAATAACTGTGGAACCTTGATAGAGTTTTTCCAAAGTGTCTATGTATGAACCAAATTCATTTTAAAATCTTGAAGCTTTGTCATGTCTTAATCTTGCTAAAAAAAAATATTACTGGAACTATATTGTTTTCATCTGCTGTATCATAATGAAATATGAAGTGATGAATAATAATAAAAATGGGTCTTTTCTGTGCTCACAGTGCCTCTGAGAACTCTTCTGCATTTTAAAGCCAAAATAAAAACAGCAAGATGGCAGGGGGAAGAAAGCAACCAATTCCATTTGTCATGTCAGTGTGCATAAAAAAAGTGAAGAAATCAACTGGTTTTCATGGATGTGAGAGGTGCCAATGACAGTATATTGTGACAGAAGTTCTGCATTCTCTAATTTTATGCCTAACATTAGCTTTACTTTTTAAGATCCTTTCTGATGGCAGATTGAGGTTCAGATAACCAAAGAAATATTAGTCACCACCTGAGTGTGGCAAATTGAAGCAACAATGCTTTGAAACAGGGATGACCTAGGTAGTTACCTTGTCTTTGATGACATATGCATCCTTTTAGTCCACAGCAGTTACCACTGCCTAACTGCTCACAGGTTTCAACCCCTTTGTGTTACTTAGTAATGTTTTGTAAACATGCAGAAGAGACAGAAACTGAATTTAATAATGGACTGAAATGATAAAATTGTTAAAACAAGAGATCAGACTTAAGAATATCTAAGAAAATTTAATTTTAGCTTCCATTCTAAGAGAAGGAAAATTAACTTGGTAGCTAAATGCTACATATTTACTGATGCTTTGTAGAGATTTTCAGATTGAAAAAAAACCAACAAACCCAAACTCTTGGCTTTACATTGTAAATCTTACACTGCTATTACATGCTATCTGAATACTACAGGTCTTCCCATTATTTACACATCTTAAGAGAATCATGAGCAGACTCTAGCAAAGTGACTTTCACATTAGGAGAACACAGGCCTTTATATGGTAATGAAATATATATTAAGTCTAGGAGCCTCCAGAAATGGAGAACGGATGGGAATAAATAACGATATAAAAAGAATTTTTTTGTTGTTTTTTATTTTTTCAATTGCTTCAATACTGAGAATTTCTGTAAAGCAAGCCTGAAGTCTTGGATAATTTTCAAGTTAGATTGTGTTAGTCTAATTACAACACCACAAATTAAAACATTTGATCAGGCTTGGGCTCCTTGCCCCAACATTCAACAGTAAATTCCACCTGAGAATAAGTATGGAAAAACAGAATTCAAAAGAGTATGTTACTGCACAGTGAAGAGAGGAGTTAAGACTGAAGCCCACAAATAGCAGCTACATGCTTACTGCTGTGGCCGAATGACTTGAACAGAGCCCAGAAGGGTAAGACGAACCAGTATTCTAAAGCCAAGTATATTTCTAGACTTCTTCAGACAAACAAAAACTGGACAATTAGATGCATTATTATCCTCCAGGGGCTTTGAAAAAAATATTTGAAAGGACAAAACCTGAATTTATCAGTGTACTTAATTTTCTTTTCAGCTTCCACTACAAAGAAAGGGAAAATTAACCGGCTAACACTAGTAGCAGTTCAATTCCCCTCCCACCCTCTTTTGGCTACCTCTGACAGAACAGTGTGTCTTTATAACCTGAAGCAGGATTTCCTACAGCAGACAAGTAAATTTCAAATAAAACTAACTATGAATTTCTCGGGGGAAAGGAGGGAAGGATAGAGGGGAGAAGGAAAAAAACCTATGAAACCACTAAAGCTTAAGTTAAGTTTTAAACAACTGTAAACCAATGCTTTCAATAAAATACAGCTTCAGATTGACCTTTCATGTCAGTTGAGAAAACAATTCATTTGCTATTTTAATATGACCTAGAATCTAAATCAGCAATCAGTATTAGTTCAAATACGCAGAATGGATGACCCTTTTTTCTTTATTCAGTATAGTAACATACCTTTAAGTGGATCATGCTCTGCTCTCATAATGTCAATAAGGGAGTTTTCCAAAGAGTGCATATTCAGACTGTCATACATTCTATTTCGATCCTAAAAGAGAACAAAATCCTTAGTATTGGAATACAAATTCTGTATTTTTTTAACAGGAAACTTGATAGGAAGGCAAAAGTGCCTTCTAAAAGCTGTACAGTCAAACACTCTGGAGATGGACAGCGATACAAAAGCTTAAGATACCTCAATTTATTAACAGTAAGACCTGATTTTTAACAGTAAGTTTAATAGCATCTAAGTATAAAACTAGAGATGGACTGTGAAGAACTCTTCTGTGTATGTACTTTGATAGCCTGTGATTGCCTGTTTCCTTCAGAAGAACTGCTTGAACCAGTTCTAGTGATCCACGGCAGAGTTAAGCATTAGGCTGTTTAATGAAGGAGACTAATGTCTGTAGAGCTCAATTTCATTTCATGCAGAAGTTAAATAATGAGTAAGGTGGGGAACTACAGGACAAGGGGACAGTCACCTCATATGAAAGAGAGCATTTTCTTGGTGCTTGGCTAAGTACCTCATGTGGGCCCTCAGCCCCCTGCTGAGACTGCATTTCCTGGCTTCTGGGTGATTAATCTGAGACCCTTTGCATACAAAGACTTGAGTTACAAATGGTCAGCACTAAATGGTTAAAGGTTGGAAAATTAAAACTAAACTATGAAAAGAAAATGTCACAAAGCTTACTAATAGATTATCAGATGCCTTATAGAGAACAATTTATTTGCACATGAAGATTAGTAAGAGTTACCATAATGCCTTACAAATATTTTCACTGAAGATAACAAAAGCTATTGTAATAAATCATAAATGTTTTAATTAATTTTATGCTGAACTAAGACATTTTCTGCCATGTTTTCTAATACACCCAAGTTACAGAGACAGAAAAAAATTAAATTCTAACTTCTTTGGTCTTTCTGGGATACCTTCAGAGACTGAAAATAGTTTGTGTAAAACCTTAATCTCTTCTACTTCCAAGGCTTCTAGCTGGCCTGTATTGCACTTAAAGGAATCCTGTAATTATGCCTTAATTCTACTGTTGTCTCCTCTGGTTGCACTGAAGTAATTCAACAGAGTAAGATGAAATACACCACATGCATCCCATGGCTATTAAAATTCACTAAAGATGTAGCCATCCATTTAGTACATAGATAATGGGACAGAATGTATCTGGCCCATGGTAACTGTGACTTTCCATGACAGTTCAGCAGAACATAGATTAATTTCAAACTAGGTCCCTCAGCAAGCAGGCATTCCTCATGTTCGGGGAGTGAAAAAAAGCAAGCTTTGAAATAGAGGTTTTCTGCAAGTCAGAAACCATGACTTAGCTTTGCAAAAGAAGCCACAACGAAACTAAGATTTTTACTTTCATTTTTTTAAGAAAGTTTAATCAACTTGATACAACACAGAGACAAAGAAGGAGAAGCCTTTTTTTCAGCAATCTGCGATATTCATTTGGTCAGATTTTTTTTTTTTTTTTTTGAAACCTTTAGATAATTTTAATGACAAATGTAAAAAGTAGCTTTCTCTTGTCTCCTGCCATGTCCCAGACCAAATGCTGCTGACACTTTGCAAGGTGATCTTCAACCCGGTTTGAGTGCCAACAAGTCTCCAGCACTGTTTTAGTTCATAGCAGCCCAATTTTGGGACTGGTTTGCTTTAATTCAGTTTTTGCGCTGTCCTGAGAAGCAGCAGAATGAAGCTGAAATGACTGATCGGCTTCCATGCCATTGCAGGTTTGTTTCTCAATAGTACAATGAAAAGAACCTGCTTACCATAGCAAACTTGCTTTCTACAGAAGGTATTGGGCAGTGACAGAGCTGGGCTTACTGTCCCCTAGCATTCAGGAGGTCTCTCATCAAGATTTTAATGAAGTCTTAAATGCAGCTGAAGCCAGTACTTGGTAGGTAGTAACTGCTCTTGCAAAAACAAATGCTGAGTGAATAAAAAACATGTTTTGCCACTTCTGTAGCTTACAGGGGAAAAGAACTAGAATTGGTAAAAACTGGACTGAAGTGTATGTGTGGCATTTCACCTTTGTTACAGGATCACGCAGTAAGATTTTCTTATTTCTTTTTTTATCATTGCTATACACATATATGTTGAAATAACACATGACTATCTGGCACATGGTCATTACTGTAGACTTAACTATACTCAGGAGAGCAGAAACCTGTAAGAAAGGGCTCCATTATGGTTAATCCCCAATACTGGCACACTTCGTCATGGATCTTACAGAGAAATGGAAAATTAAAAAAAATGTAACATGCATTTGTGATTCATTTGTAAACTACACCACTGGCTAACATGGTGTAATGATTGTAACTTCACCCTTGCATCATTCTGTTTTGCAAGTTTTGTGTATCCAAAGTGAAAGGTCTTGCACTGCTGGAAGCAGAAGAAATAAAACTTTTCCCATCCTCTTTAAACCTTAGAAAGTTCATGTCTATAAAGCTAAAAAAAAAAAAAAAGATATTTGCTTATTGGAATTTTATTACTTCATTTCTGGCAGTGGAAACATGCAATAGGCATGCACTGTACAACATAAAAATGTTGTGGATACACTAAAGTAAAGCAGAATTTAAATATAGGAATTCTATTCTGCTATCTCACTGCCCACATCACACTATCCACTTGTGAGTTCGGTAACATCTAGGTAATTAGTGCTTCAAACTTTCAACATCTATTCCAGATCACACTGATGAACTACATAGTTAAATTTCAGATAATGTTGCTTTATAGTATCTCAAAAAGAGTAAAGCATTCTTGGGGTACAAGGTTCATTTTATACCTTTGTGCAACTAGGCTTTACAGTGCTAAAACACTGCTCTGTGCTCCCCAAATACATACATCAGACCTTTAAAGAGCACAGTTATAATCTATGCAAATATGAAGCTTACATTTCAAAGCAGAACCTACAAGTATTTCAATGTTGGTTACATCAGCAAAGACTTTCTAGAAAGTTCTGCTGTAGAAAAAAAAATCCACAATGCTTTGAAAGGGGACAGTTCTACTACAGCATGCTCTACTTCAGCAAGCTTCCACTGATTTTCCTCCATCTTTAGGACAAACACAAAAAGTACACCCACTGAACATGGAACATGACTGTTTTAGATAGTTTTCCATGCACATGGAAATAGTCCTAATTCTTGGGACTATCTTTAGTTTCATTATTTCAACACGGTTGATAAGCAGTTATCTTCTAAAACAACCTGGAACTACCTTTAAAACAACAGGGAAACAGTCCCAAGAATTAGAACTATTTCCCTGTTGTTTTAAAGGTAGTTCCAGGTTGTTTTAGAAGATAACTGCTTATCAACCGTGTTGAAATAATGAAACTAAAGATAACAGTAGTACAAAGATATTAACATATATGCTTATGTATCAATGCAGGTTTTGGATCACCCTGACTCCAAAAGCCCCTTTTGTCAAGGCTGAATTCCTGTAAAATATTTTGCATTTCCCTCACCTCTGTGGCTCATTAGTCCTGTGCTAAGAAGCAAGTGAACTCTTGCTGTGTCAGATGGTTCATATCTCAGTGGAATGTCAGAACATAATGTTATTTTTTCCCCAGAGCCGATAGTTAACTTCTCCCAAGCACTACGAATTCTCACACTAGCTTTTTATTTCTTTTTAACTGTATAAACATTTGAATCCTGCTTGACGTGGTTTTGGTATAACTGCCTACACATTCAGAGGTATATGGCTAAGTGACAAATTGTCACCTCAACTTAAAAGTAAGAAAGTTTACAGAAAAGTGATAATTATTTCAGAATTTTTACAGATTTACACAATATAGGAGAAGCATCAAGTCTCCTACCCATAGAATACAGTCAGTGCTAAAAAGACTTTTTGACAATGTCATGCAAAATACATCTACAAAGTGTGCATCTCAGAAGTCCTCCCCCCATACGTGTAAGTGTCGAACACATGGGAGGAGGGCAGCTTTCTCTGAATTGCAAGTTTCAGCACTAAATTGCTGGACAAATAATTTTTCTTGGCACAATCTCTTTAGGATTTCTAAATATATCCATGCAATTTATGCAAAGATTATCCTGTTCGAGCATTTGCAGAAACTCTGTGCAGTCACATCTCAAAGCTTATATATTGTCCTTTACATATAAAGCAAATACAAGGACAGAAACCATTAAACAGTGAATACAATTTTGCTAATCTTTAACCACACTTTAAACACCAAAAATAGATGTTCATAGTTAAGAAGCTAAACAACTCTGAATTCTGGACACGTTTTAAACTACTGATCTATAGAACTACTTGAAGCAAAAAAATAAGGCTTTAACATAGGTATTAAACTCAGCAAATATAAGTATCTTTAAAATATGCTCCTTTATGGTGTTTTCATATTCTAAAGAAATGTAGCAGTATTTGACGGGGGCTGGAAACAACTTAAAAGTCATAAGCTTCTAGTCAGTTTCAGGTATGGTTTTAGCTGGCTGCAAAAAGACTCTGTAGCTTTGACCTTGCTGAATTCACGGAATTTTTAAAAAAACTCAATTAAAGAAACTTTTTAAAAATCACTTCCCAAACTAAAATGCTAACAAGTTGCATATTTTCACCTTAAAAATGACCTGAATAAAAATATGTTGTAAGACTAGAAAGTGACAATTGATTTAGTAAGGTATTCACAGACTTAAATACCTGAATATAGTATTCAGTGTTAATGTTAGCAGTAATAACTTAACAATCAAGTACATTGTATATTCTAGAACATAATCTTTGCTAACACCTAAACTTCAAGTCATTCTCATTTTAGTGAAGATCTTCTATAATCATAAGCTCCTTGTTGAAACTATAACTAGTGTAAATGAGAAACTTAGTATGAAAATCTATGACTTAACTACAGTTTTAGCTCTGTAAAAAACCAGTAATATCTGGCAGACATCTGTAAATGGTCAGCCCAACAGCAAAAGTGTTTTAAAGTTAAAATGACACAATCAGCTGTGTAAGCGAGGTAAAGTGAGCCTAAAATGCACCAAGAACAGGTCCTGTGGCAAAGATACACCTACTTCCTAAATACATAA